ATTAGTTGTGTATAAATTTTTACATCAACGATACATAAATATTATTACATTCTAATAATATTCATATGCCTTTTCCCCATTTGAATTGGGCCAATAAGAAGCTTACACTACATCTTTTATTAACAAATTGATCCTTTTCTTATATTTTTGCCCTTACTTGTTTGTTCATTTTTTAATCATTGTCACGTAGGGTGTTTTTTGGTAACCTAAAAAAATGTATTATCGATTTTGATTTAAAAATTATACTATCAAAAAATTTAATGCATAAATGATAGATTATCTACCAATAATTAATGCTCGTCCAATAAAATCTTCATAAAAATGGTATGAAAATTTTGTGAGAAAGAAAATTACTCCTTTTGATTGACAAAAATAATTCCAAAATTTAACCAATGCATACATTAAATAATTTTTATATATCCAACTTAAGTATGTAAAATTAGTAAAGCATTAATTTATCATTAATGCATTAATGAATATAAAATTTATTTAATAAAATTAATAGTGTTTGAATAAATATTTTATTAACTTCTTACTACATTAAATTTAAATAAAAAATGTACCAATAAAAGTTTATGAACAATTACGTCATAAATGTGTTTATATAGAATGTCACATTAATATTTTTAAATTACTTTCATGATATATAATAATTTTTAAATAAATTATATAAAAAATATACAAATATTAATTACGTTAAAATTGTATAAACAATTAAAATAAATTGAATTGATGTCAATGTAAATTAGTTTATGGAGATAACGTCTTAACTTGAAATTAATTTTGAGTTGTTCTCACAATTAAGTTGATAAAGATAAACTATGATAACTTATTAACATCAAACAATTAAATACTTTAATGTTTTGTTTCACATTTGATATAATGAAGGATTTTGAAGTTGTAGTTCCTTAATTGTCCAAACTCACTCCAAAGTAGGGAAAAGTGGCATTGATGGTGAGATCAATATCCATAACCCAATCTACATTCCCTCAATTTTATTTTTTGCATAAAAAGTGAATATACTGCAAAAGAGTAGATGGGCCAAAGGAACGTGCACATAATAAATGTGAAAGTGATAAATAGCTATGAGAGCATGTGAATAGTTTGATGAATGGGTCTCAGCGAGCAACATGTTTTACTTGGGATAGGTTTTTTAAGAAATAGGATTCTCTTATAGAAACTACATTTTTTTCCTTTGTTTTTAATACAAAAAATATAATTTTATTATAATTGAAATGATATATGAGTCAGTAAAAATTGTATTCTCTTTGATTTTTGAAACGTCTCTCCATTAATGAAGATAATTCTAACTCTCATTAGAGCATCAGCTTACAGTAAGGGCAGGCAACGTTTACGATGGTGCATTAAAGAAATAGTACGGACTGGACCGCAATCCCACGTGAACGGAGCGGATAAGCAGTGATGGACCAGGTTATATGTCCACCACTCTCCTTTTCCCACCACTTACCACACTTCTTTCCCTGAAATGAATATTAATTATGGATTGTTTAATATAATATTTACCTTTTATTTAGACATAATTAACTGTGTAATATCTAGCATATATATATATATGATAAGTGTAATTGATTACATATTTTAAAAAAAATAGAAAGACATGATTCTGATAAGTGTAATCGATTACCACATGGTGTAATCGATTACACCAGTTAAAAACTTAAAATACAAACTCAACGGCTTTCTGTAATCGATTACAATGTGAAAAATGCACATATCTGATGCTTTTAATATGTTGTAATCGATTACGAGTATAGTGTAATCGATTACATCATGTAAAATGCACAGGTCTGATTAGTTTATCATCATGTAATCGATTACCATGGTTGTGTAATCGATTACACGTAATACAATTTTAAATCTCAGTCGTCCATTTTTTTTATTACACGTGTCGCAATCTGAGAGCTCACTGGCCTCTCCATTACAGGAGAGGAGCGAGACCCTATATATATATATACACATATATATATATATATATATATAACATCAAGCTACATCAATATACAAATAAGTCTCATCCCAAAAGTTGAGCTTGGCAAGAAGGTTGAATGTGAGATTATTGATGGTGAGATGGTGCATTCTAGGAGGGCTAGCATTGGTTTCTGCCCCATTGATATAACCATGACAATGAGCTTGGTTTCTAGTAGTGATCATGGTGTGAGATTCTCACACATGGTGTCAATGTTCTTTAGTATATAAGGGGTGGCATGAGAATTGGTTTGAATCGGACTGAGAACTAGTCTTGTGCCACCTAGGATGGTACCAAAAATAGACTATAACTCTTAAACCAATGTTTATAAGGGGCATGAGATAGCTAAAGAGGGTATGAGCTGAAGTCACATGATCTCTTCCTATCAGACGATGGGTCTTGTAAGCCTATGGCATTTGGTGATTCCTCTAAATTTATGAATTTGTGTGTCCTCACATGGAGGTCATCCATATTATTGACCTGGTATTTGGCCATCACTTTTATTTTAAACAATTGTGGTTGTTGACCAATAATTTATAGGTCTACCACAACAACGAGATATAGTCTCCTGATTTTATTGGATGATTAATATGACTAGACCATGGAATCCCTCATGATGTTACTGGATGATAAGACAAATCCATTATGATTATATTAGAATAAATATAGGAGGCTTCTATACAATGAGTAACTTTATTCTTCATAACCTATTTACTTTCTTTGTAACTATTCCATTCACTCTATAATGACTTGGGTATTGATGTATACAAAAATGTATCATATTTAATCCTTATTTTATATGAAAATCTCTATATAAATTGTAATTTAATTCATCTTTGTTGAATTTTCATTTAATATAAATTATATATGGGTTATTTGCTATTTTGTGCATATTTAATGCAAAGAATTCCTCATAAAAGTCGATATAATGAATTTTTATGGATTCCTTTAAGAACAAATGCCAATAAAAAAACCTTTAAGGACAAATATTAAGACTTGGACATATTTATGGTATTTCGCACATTAAGTATTGGAGTCTATTTTTTATACCTACCTGAGATGATCCAAGACTGATTCTCAACCCGATTTAAAACAATTTAAACATTTAAAGATCAAATTGAATCTCATTCAATCCTTAATCATCATCATCGACTCATTATCTAGATATTTAGGTGATACTTTGTCCTTGATATTTCTCCGTTGGTGATGTGGATTTTAAATTGTATTGATCCCTATTTTATGTATATTTCCTTCTACTTAGATTTAGGTATTTAATGTCTTTCAACTCTATCAACTAAGATAATAATAAATTGATTGACCTATAAAAGTAAGAAGAAGGGTATGGTGATGTGTAGTAAAATATTACTAAAGTGTTACTTTTACAACTCATTTGAATAACTTTGTTAACAAATGTTAATTTTTTTATAAACAAAGTTTATTTTCCAGTAGAGGTGGAGGTAAATAATGAGGGAAAAGATAAAGAAATAGAAGAGACCATACCCTTTTTTTTATAGTACAGATAACATCATTGAAAATATTATTCACCAAGTGTTATTCAAAAACTAGGATTTAAGGAAGATTATATATGTATAGCACATTAGCACTCTAGCCATAGCACTTAGTAAAGTATCATAGATACAGCTAAGCTCAGCCAATGGAAATATAGAAAAAAAAAAAAGTAACATTTTTCGAACAAAAAACGATGCGTTGTGTTGTATTCCTCTATATATGTTAATAACCTCCTCCTACTGTTACCATTCAACTCAAATGTGTGCTTTCTACTTTTCTTTCCTCCACACCCTTTTTCTCCTTTGCTTTTCTTCTTAGTGGTTAGATCTCAGCCGTTTTTAAAGCAGATATATATATATATATATATATATATATATATTTATATATATATGCAACTATGTTGATGTTGCGTACTTGAGAGAGTTGTTTTTCTCTTCTTTATCAATAATAGTTTCTCTTTAAATGTATATATTTTTTTACTTGTTACATAGTATATGCATATATGTGAATATTCGATTCTTGTTCCGATTTTAGCAAGATTTGCATATATCGTTATTTCTTCTGAGCATTTCTCCGTTTCCCTTTTCTATATATCGTCATATACTAAATTGAGGTTTTTTCCCTTAAGAGGAATTAAGAATAGTCTATCTGATTGTTATTTGGATTTTTTTTCCTTTTGTAACAAAAAAATTTGTTGTTTGGATTTTGTTCTTATTTTTTTTCTCATGGGGGAAAAGGATCGATGCTTTTTAACCCCACACACATCATTACCTGTAGATCTTGAAGGTAACTAGCTTGATTTGAGTTCTATTTTCTTCAGTTTTCTTCGATCTAAATTTAGAGGTATTGAAAGTATGCGTTTTTGTTCTTTACAAGTTGTTTAATATTTTTCTTTTGTATGATATAGTGGTTCAGGCTTTTTGTGTTGTTTTGTTCTTGAGGCTTGAGTTCATATCTGGGGTAGATTCCTTTTGGTACGGAACACAAGCCTAGTATACCATAACATATATTGTTGGCCACATCAGCTCCTCCTCGTGGCCTTGTTTCCGAAAAAAATTAACATAAAATTACAAGATTTCATGTATCATAATCATAATATTCATCTGTTATCCTTTTTATTGTTTAATTGATTTGAAAAGCTGATAGTTAAAAAATTTCAACCAATCAACCAAAATGAGACATGATTATAGTACATATGTTTTCTCTACAACTACTACTTGTTTAATTTCTTCCTTCTTTTCATTGTTTATTTAATTTTTTAGTTTAATAATTAAATCTCACATTAATTACTGTGTATACATGTTTCATGTTTTCCCCTTGAATTTATGTTTAGAGTTTAAGACTAACTTTCTGTAAGATTCTTATTTTCTTTGTGTAAGTAGTGGATTTTATTAAAAGATATATACTTTTCTATGAGATTGGGAATATGGTAAGTTAGCTTCTATATATAGATTCTAGCTTCTTTCTTTTTGGAGCTATAGTTGCATGGAGAGATGAACAGTCGTTATTTGCGGATGTAGCATCATCAAGATTCACATTCAAATGCAGATGGGTGGAATCTGATGCAGTCTATATATGCTCTCTGCCATGCCATAAGTCTTTTGAAGTGAGAATCTTGATGATGCTGCATCAGCCATAAACGACTTAATAACATTTTTTTAACCCCAAAAAATAGAGCAAAAGTTTTTCTGAGGAGGTGGACACACTGCCCAAACCTTCAGACACTGTCCATGATCTGCACATTTAAACAAGAGGTGACCCTTCCCACTTATAATTACTTTTTTTTTGGGTAGTATTCAAGTGAGTTTTATCCTTTGTTTAATTTTCAATCTAAGGTGGGGATTTTTTTATTATTCAATGGATATGGCCTTGCAGAGCTTCCATCTTTAAATGTTTTTATTATTACTATAATATTATTTATTCATCGATTAGCTTTTTTCATATTACAGACAATCCTAGGTTATCCATTATAGGGCTATTTGGAGCAAGAGGAGCTGCTGTTAGATCCCTTATGTTATGATGCCTCAATAAATGTAAGAGAATAAAACTCTTAATGTGTTAAGCATTATCCTATTTATATGATCAATGACTAGCGAAATATTTCTTGCATAACTCAACTATAATTTTTGGACAATTTTTGTTATTTATAACATAATACCATATTTTATTTATCTTTGATATTATGTTACAAGTGTTCAAGTTGTATTATAAGGCCAAAATTTGTGAAAAGTTATGGTTGTGAATTATACAAGAAACATTTCGGTATATAGGATAATGCTTGATACTTAGTTTCATTTTGTTACATCATTGAGGCATCATAGGTGTAGAAATCAAATGGAGCCTTAATTAGAAGAAATTGTTAGAAAGCAGGAATGTTAATGGATGACCTAGTGACTTTGTTCAATTGACCATAATTCTAATTGAAGGGTTCTAAATCCTGAAGGACAATTTGTTCGTTCGTCTTTGAAGGAGAAGATGAAAACTTGGAAACCTATCCAATCATTCTCAACTATTTAATTTGGAGCATATTAGGTATATATTTCTGATCCGGTTTGACCTGTTTTGTTAATTGATTGTCACCTTGTGATTTTGATTATAGTTTTATGGTGGTGGGGAACTTGGATAAGAAAAATCACGGACATGTATTAGTTCTTCAGTTCCATGATCAAGGTTTTGGTTTGGTGGACCAAAAGATAGAGACATCTTGCACAAGTTGGACCCTCCAAAGGTACTACTCTATCTCCGAAGGCAATGATATTTCAGTCCATGTATTATTCACCCCTCTTGAATATATTGCAATATATCTTCTTCATTATTCATGATAATTAATGATGATTCACTATATTCAAGATCCTACCATGGAAATCTGTGTGCCCCCATCACTTTCCAACTCTTCCTTCACAGGCTCGGTTTATGTATTCTGGTCCAAATCCCCACAAAAAATAAAAAAGGAAAGAAAAATTTAGATTGCCCTAGTTCTCTATATATATACCTGCATGAATTAGGCCCACTGATATTGAATTCTTGATGTTCTTTGTATTGATAATACTGCACTACATAATTTGTTAACCTTGGTGTCCTCATCAGCATTAGTTTCTATTGCCTTTTTTGCTAGTTGTATGAAGCTGCTATTTAATTTCAAGCACAAAAAACCTTTAATCTGTCTGTACTGTGTACCTTTGTTTCTTTTGAAAGTGACTCTGGTTGACATAATTAATGCACTTAATTCATGCTTAATTGCAGGGAGTAACCAACTCAATCTTTGGTTGCAGGTGTTGATTTAAAAGAATTGTCTCTTCTAATTTGGAAAGTCGATCTAGTTCTGCTGCTACTTCTTCTTCACATAGATCTTTTGTAAGTAGTGACCTCTTCAATTCCTTTTACATTTATGGTTAATCAACAGATTCATTTCACGGCAACCATATAAACTACATTAGTTGATTTATGACTTTATATATATATATATGATTCCTGATTGTGTACTTATCTACTTGATAACTGGTTCGGACTATGCTTGCTGTAATGAAAACAAGAACTATATAATAATGGTGGGAAAGTAAAGGATTCAAACTAATATATAGTTACAAAAAAAAGAGGTCTAATATCATATATATCTTATACAATTATATTTGTTCTGTCCAAATGAGATATATTGCTAAAGGGTAGCTTCTGTTTTAGTGAAAAATTTCTTCTTCTATTTCTTATCTACAAGCATGATAATAAAAATGTTTGATAAACAACTTATTAGTAATGGGATTATAATCTTGACGACATCTTTTTTTAAGTAAATAAGATAAGGGTAGAGCATTAATAACTTTCATTAATATTCTAATAGGTCTCCTCATTCATAGGCATTTTGAGCTTGAAGTGGACTATGCATAATTAAGCACATTATACCAATATTAACCTTCATGTTTTTATAGAATGAGAGTGTTTATGATGGAATTTTGAAATTCTTCCTCATGAAAATATTGATGTTCAACCAATATTTTTACAGTGCAAGCTAAGTGATACTCATACCATAATTAATATAGTAATTTTTTTTTTCAAAATCAAATATTAGTATTTATATGTGTATTCAAGCAGAAGAATAATAATAGTGAAAAGATTTTATAAGAAAAAATAGTAAATATCATGGTGTAGTAATTAAAAACTATTTGTAATTTATCAGTTTCACTGTTTCACACCTAGATAAGTTGTACTATATGTGTCAAAAATGGACACGGTCACATGCCACCATGTTCTACGTACATTGCTTCCATCATCCAATGTCAGGTTTTATGTTCTTTAGCAACAAAGAGGAGGGGCCACAAACAAAATTTGCTCAACATTCTAAACTATTACTCATCAAGTGTCTGAAGTTGCTAGGATAATGCTCACTTTTTTGTTTAACTGCTAAGTTCTAGTTTCGTGATTCGTACAAAATGTTTTGATGAGATTCCCACATCATGTCATGTTGGGATTTTGAGGCATACATTGATTTCAATATGTGCTTTTCTGCTGTGTGCTCAAACACGTATTTTCATGTATTCAAAGAGGATAAGTTTGTATTGGATATTGTGAATACATATTTACTTATGCATATAAATCTTATAAATTAATCAATTTGTCATGGAAACTTATTTTTTTATAACTTAATGAGTGTTACATAAACCCTTCCCATATTTTATATAAGGAAAGGAATAACTAACTAATAGGTTCTCCTTCTACTTTTAGTATTTCCAACTTCAATAATATTTCATTTTTACCTCAATATTGATTAGCTATCATCAAAACCATGATATTTTGGCTTTAATATAATAGCCCAAATTTTGGTATTGAATTTACTGAAATTCAGTAGGGCATATTCTTATTCTGAAAAGGTAATGATTCACATCACACTCAGACCCAGTAAAATGAGTACATACATGATATTCATATATCAGATTTACTGATTTGAAACCATATCAATCATATATTCAAATTGACATGAATAGTTAAAATGATGAAACTATAATATATATATATATATAGAATAGAGGTAATGTTGGGTTAGTATAAATAACATAGTACATAAAAAAATTACAATCAATCTTGGAGTTGTTGTTTGTAAGACCGTAAGACTTTAATAAGATGCAAAGCTTTGGTTCCAATATTCAGTACTCAAATTTCCATAGAAGTTTGATTTTGCTTTTTTTATTTTCTGCTGATAAAAACTGAATAATGAATTACTCATGCGCTATTTTTTGTATTGGTAGTTATTAGTATCACAAAGACACTCTACTGGCCAATCATGCTTTGTAGAAAATATTTAGGGTGAAAAATGAACGCCCTGCAAAAAAAAATTCTCAAATAATTCAAAATATAAAAAGTGTTAAGTTAACATAGGAATAATAGGATTCATAAGTACTCTATTGCTTCATTTTTGTGTGTTTGAAGTTACATATATAGTTTAAAAAATTATTAAATAATGTAGAATTTGATATAATTTGACTAAAATAACTTCATTTAAATAAATTAAAAGTTGAATTAAAGAACTAAAAAATATGAAGTAAAAAATAAAATTAATAAAATATAATTGTATATTGGATTTATATAAATCATAAGATTTAAATTTAAAAAGTTAAAAAATACGGAATAGATGCACAAAAAGTTGATGTGATGGGCAGATTTGTAGTTCTGGTTGGTTGGTTTATCTGACAAATGATTATTAATTATGTCCAGGTTTCTGGCCCCACTTATGTCATTCCACTTGTGCTGTAGTCCAGTAGAGAATATGTTTTTAATTTTTTTAATTTAAAATAGTAAAAAATCTGGACCATTTAAATTTTGATTTTGACTGTGTCAAAATCCTAAGTATGCAATGCTCTCTCTTGTAATAGAGAGAAGCTAGATTCGTCATTTATGTATGTTTCCAGAGTCATAAGGTGATATGTTGATGAGGATGAAATGATTAAGAAATGGAGTGTGAGAGGTTGTGAGTTCAAATCTCATCAATAACAAAAAAAAAACTATAAGGAATTTTGATGGTTCGAATGAAAGATGTGAGTGAAAGAAGTTGATAGTTGGAATCTCACTCACAACAAAAAATACTAACTTACTTGTGGATCAACAAAAAAAAAAGGTCTGTCTGTGGGCCTCATGAACCATATCTCTACAGATTGTTGCTGTATACTGTTGAATAAAAAATAGATGATTTAAATTTTGTTTTGCTTATAATTTGCTAAGATTAGAATATAAAATTATAAATGGTCTAACTTTGATGTAGTGACATACATGGATGAAAATTACAATAACTAAGTTTGTAAGAGTTTTGTTCAAACTTCAAAATAGAGTTGTGCCAAGAACAGAAACTAGATTAATTTATCACAAGTTGAACCAAAAGTGGGTCGAATCAAATTTATTCATAATATAATCCTCCAATTGGGTTCCACTTAACCCATTTTGAGTAAAAAAATAGGCCCAATTAGGTCTAAAATTGTACTGGGCTAGTAAGGGGGTTAGCCTCCACTAAATTCTCATACTTGTCTTTATCTTTTCTACAAAAGCTTCACCTTCAATGATGCAGGTGCTACCAATGGCTACAAATAGGGAAAATCAGCATTGCAAATATTTTCACCAATTTTACCCTATCATAAGATTTTGGTATGTTTTTATTAAA